CACACAGACACACACACACACAGACACACACAGACACACACAGACACACAGACACACAGACACACAGCATCATGCTCCTGCGAGCAGGTCTGCCGTCATCCAGATGACTTCATGTTTGGTTCGTCTCCAATTTGGTCTCGCTTAGAAAACTCCAGGCCACGTTTAACCGTTTTTCTCCCAAAATTAGCTCACCGATGTTATTTTAACATGATGCAGCTAAACCAAGTCTGTCATTCTCAGCATATACCTGCAGTACTCGAGTCTGTGTATTAATGTGATGTGAAATAAGTCCTGTTTCACATCTCTGTGTTATTCTGCTCTCTATACGGCTCAGGTCTCTTTTTCAATGTAACTCAACTACACAATTTGGAAAATCATTCGTGTCTGTAGCTCAAACTGAGCTTTATTCAAATCATTAACCCTAACTCTGAGCAAAAGTAACCACTATAAGCATAATTCTGCTCAATCGCAGGCTGCATGTTCAGACGAATCGGATGACGTCGGATCAGATTTTCCACTCGCTCTGTCTGCGTTTCCTCACGAAAGAGCGGTATGTTCTTCTAGTACGAGCTTCTCAGCTAAAATAGAAACGACGGCGGGTGCCTGGCAGTTCACACCACTCACATACCAGCCGTTTATGTTTTAAACAGGAGAGAGCCACACACACACACACACACACACACACACACACACACACGGTGCTGTCAGGTTACACTGGTCCTATCAGACAGGTAAGAACAGGTTTAGTCACAAATCCTACAGGATAGTGCACCCAAAAATGAAAAATCACTCCTCTGTTTAAAATCTGTATGACTATTTCTTCTGTGGAGCACAAAAAGAGGTTTATTGCATAAATTCAAGAAGGTTTTTTTATAATACAGACTGAGGTTATAAAGTAAATTCTATATTAATTAAAATAAATTAAAATAATTAAGTTAAATAATTAAAATAAATCTAAAAAAATTAAATCATAATAAAATTTTATTCTAATGAATTAATTACTTAAAATAAATGTAAATAATTGATTAAAATAAACAACATAATTAAAATACTTGAACTTAATTCAAATAAATCAAAAATAATTATAATTACAAATGTATTAATTTATCGAAATCAATTTAAATAATTAAAATAAACACAAAAATCATTAATAAATCAATAATACTTTAAAAGAATTCAAATTCATTTAAATAATTAATTAAAATACAATTATTTAAAATAATTCAACTTAAAATAATCAAGAATAATTTAAAATAATAAATTAATTAATAATTTATATAAAAAAATTAAAAGAATTGAAATTTAATTTAATAAATTAACTAAAATAAATACAAATAAGAAAATTAATTAAAATAAACAAATAAATAATAAATAATTAAATGCAGTCTATTTGACTTCCGCTACATTCCGAGTCTTTTAAAGTCCACAAAATTTAATTTTAACAAAAATTTAAAACAGTTCTGCCCTAAAATATTCCCCTTTCGTGCAGCTCATAAATCTTGTTTGCACTAATGTTCAATTCCAAAATGATTTCATGTCCATTATTTCAAACATCATTTGAAACGGTTTAAACTTTTCACTGATGTCAAATCCAACACAACACATCTGAATTGAATGAGCCTGCAGAACAACCACAAGAGAGATAAAGTGAATCGTTTTCAGTGAATAACACTTACATTTGAGTCTGTTCCTCAAACATAGCAATCACATGACTTCAGAAGACTCAAAATATATGAGCTACTTTCATGCTGCTGTTCTCATCATTGTTGGAACTCAACAGCCTCATTACGACAATAAATACATCCCCTTTTGTTTTCCACTGAAGAAAATCAGTCACACGGGTTTGGAAACATGCTGCTGTTCTCATCATTGTTGGAACTCAACAGCCTCATTACAACAATAAATACATCCCCTTTTGTTTTCCACTGAAGAAAATCAGTCACACGGGTTTGGAACGACACGAAATGATGACAGACTTCAAACTTTCGGGTGAACTGCTACAGTTGTGCTGCCGTGGGTTTTGAGAAGCATTCAGGCTTAATGATGAGGTCACTTCCTGTAAATCTCATTACGACACTGTCAGCTCCGAACACACTCACAGCAGCTGATAAAAGCTTCATGGAGAGCTGTGAACACTGACGGTCCAGCGGCGGAAATGTGAGGACAGTCTGCTCGCGTCCTGCTAACAGACGGATCTTTGTACGCGCTTCTCAATGCTCTACACACACGCAGCGACGAGCTCTCACACACCGCTCTTGTGCTCAGCTCTATTAAATAAGACAACCATCTTATTTTAAAATTGAGTTGAGTTATTATAGCACCAAATATTTCGCATTTGGAGTAAAAAGAGACTAGAGAAACTCTATCATGGTGGAAATTGCAAAAACGCCACTTTGATTAGATCAGCGTTATAAAACATTTCATGACTGAGAACAGGAAAGTAAGTCGGGCTGTGCCGATGCAATCATATAGTGATTGATTAGGGATGTGCAAATGTTCAAAATCGACTAGTAAATGAAAATTTGCTGAAGATGTGCTCACCCTCAGGGCATTTGAGATCAGGATGAGTTTGTTTCTTCATCAGATTTGGAGAAATGCAGCATTGCATCAGTGTCTCAGCAATGGATGCTCTGCAGTGAATGGGTGCCGTCAGAATGAGAGTCCAAACAGCTGATAAAAACATCACAATAATCCACAAGTAATCCACAGCACTCCAGTCCATCAGTTAACATCTGGAGAAGACAAAAGCTGAAACTAATCCAGCATTAAGACGCTTTTAACTAAAATACATTGAGTCCATAATCCATAATAACGCTTCCTCCAGTGAAAAAGTGTTCTGGTCTGAATCAGGAGAGAAATCTGCACAGATCAAGCACCGTTTAAAATGCTCTAAACAAATACGTCAGTGGATTTTGGTGTGAGAGACAACAGGAGATGAAGCGTTATTATGGATTATGGACTCTTATTTTAGCTGGAAAAAAGCTTTTGTCTTCTCCAGATGTTAACTGATGGACTGGAGTGCTGTGGATTACTTGTGGATTATTGTGATGTTTTATCAGCTGTTTGGACTCTCATTCTGACGGCACCCATTCACTGCAGAGCATCCATTGCTGAGACACTGATGCAATGCTACAATTCTCCAAATCTGATGAACAAACAAACTCATCCTAATCTTGAAACTATCCTTTTAAGATTTTTATTGCAACATATATAAATAAACATGCATGCAGTGTAAGTGTGTATAAGAAGACTCGATTATGTCATTTGCAATGCTTCACGAAAGACGACGTTCTGTTCTTTTGCAACAATTTCCGCTTCCAATCAACTTCTCTAGGATTATAAACACTTTTTTGTGAACAATGAAGTTAAAATCATATTGACTTCTGTCTTCTACAGAATCTTAAAAAAGTTAGTCAATTTGTGGTGCAAATAAATGTTGCGCTCTATGACATTGTAAAGCATGTGCATCATATCATGACATAGTTGGCGATAACCAGCACTAAAACCAAGACACTTTCCAGAAACAGGAAGTCAGTCTTTAACTGGACTTTGAGTTATCCTGACGCCAATCCAACCATTCCAGTCTCGACGGGGTTTGTAAACCCTTTTAATTAACCTCATAAACCACAGCCATCCTCACTAACCACAACATAACTAACCCATTCCTTTCCGCCTACAAAAGCAATAAAAAATCTGGCACCCAAACAAGCCAACAACATTGTGTGATTGATATAAAAACTCTGCATGAATGAAGCTCTGCTCTTGTCCCACGTATCTCTTAAAGAGTTATTTACATACACATTATCTCCGCGCGTAATTAAACTGCTTTCCCCGGCAACAGGCTGATGATAAACGTTCTCTCCTGTGAGCGCCGGCTGAATGGAGAGAGACTGTATATCTGTCCGGTCCGAGACACATAAACAACAATGATCCGACTGACTCTTAGTCTGCACTGGAAGGATTACTGAGGAACTAAAAGCTCTTCTTCTCTCTCAGCTCTGGAACATCTGCTGGAACATTATAATCCTGAGACAAAGCCCGAGCTTCCAGAGCTTCCTCGTCCAGAGCACCTCCAACCCCCTCCATCCATTCGTTTGAGGACACAAGCCACAGAAAACTTCCTCAGAGAACCTCACAGACAATCTGGAGGAAGCAAAGGCTTCCAAAACCTATTCAAAAGGCTCCAGGACGACTATTTGAAGTCCTATAACAAAAATGAGCAAATAAAGAAACCAAAAAAGGATACCTCAAATTTGAACATTCAGTAATGGTGAACTTTTGGACATCTTGAAACTAGATTACTTAGAAATTAAGGCCTTATGAAATCTGTTTTATTTTACCCCAAATTCTGTTTGATTTTTTTTTCAATTTCTGGATTCTGTTTTAACAGTTAAATTAAATATTACTAATCAAAAAACATGTCTAATTAATTTAAATCAGTTTTATTTTTCCTAATTTCTCTTATTTTTTTCCTCTAAAAGCAGTTTTTTTTCTGTTTCAATTTTTCTAGATTCTGTTTTTCCCTCTCATTTAAATTTGTCTGGATTCTGTTTTAACAGTTAAATTAAGTTTTGTTGATCAAAAAGCATGTCTAATTAATTGAAATCATGAAACTTATGCAATTTAACAACAATTGATTAATTACATTTTTAAGACCCTATGAAATCAGTATTATTTTTTTCTCAAATTCTATTGACTTTTTCCGCCTTTTTTCTGGATTCTGTTTTTTTCTCCCGGTTTTATTTTTTTATTATTCTGGTTTAATGGTTAAATTAAATTTTATGAATCAAAAAAACATGTTTAATTAACTGAAATCATGAAACTTAGACAATTTAACAACAGCTGATGAAATGGTTAACAAAAATGAAATTTTCAGGGTCTACGGTGTTTTCCGCTTAAAATTTTCTGGATTCTGTTCGAATTATTTAATTAAATAAACAATAATTTAATTTATTGAACAAAAGCATGTCTAATCAATTGAATTTATAAAAACTTCATCAACTGAATAATTTTTTTTTTTTTTTTACAATAATAGGGCCCTATTAAGTATTTTATTTGATCAGAAATTCTATGTTGTCTGTTTTTTCTGGACTTATGATTTAATACAAATTTATCAACAACAATGGTGGTAATTAAATGAAGCCATAAAACGTTAATTTAATCTCAATTTAATTAATCTTTTAAAATGCAATCAAATGAATATATTGCATTTATATATATAATGATAATACCTTTTAAATTTCAATTGTAAATAAAATAATTTTACATTTAAATTTTTAATTAAATTAAAAATGAATGTATTTATTTATTTATTTTAAAAAAGTATTACTTTGAGAAGTACATTCTACTCTAAAATAATATATTTCTGTCACAATTTCTTCAGGTTAAACCAAACTTTTATTTTGGCAGGTTGTATTGAAGACCTTTGAGTTTGTGTGTGTATTTGACTCTAGTTTTCTCAAATGAAATGGTGAAATGCTGGTGAAGTGACTCTCAGAGCAGCTCTGAGATGAAGTTCATGTCCTCCATATAGTGAGACGCAGACGAGCGTCACGTGTGTTTGAGTTTGTGTAGACGAAACTTCACCGCTCTTTCACACAGAGACCCGCAAAACATGCAGACTTCACATTAAACAGTCTATTTGCGCTTCAGTATCATCATGATTTTTCATGATTTGCGGTATCATTCGTGTCCGTAGATGAATGCAGCTTCTGTTTAAGGTGATAATGAGCTTCGCTGATCATTCGCTGGCTGTATTCTCACATGAAGCTCTGCAGCGAGTCTTGTGGTTGAGCTGATGCTGTGAAAGATCACATTTCAGCGTAAAGCAACTTCCTGCAGAAGCTTTCTAGGAAGAGAGTCAAGTCTAAGATCTCCACTGCGATTCTCTTTCATCTGGAAGTCCATGTTTTTAAGGCTGGAACAAGTGCAAATGGAAAGGAAATAAACAACTCCCTTCTCCTTTGGTGCCTGTGTAGAATGCAGATCAAATTCTTTCTTCTGAAAGAAATCTCCTAAAATAAGAACTGAAGGAGTTCATGGCCTTCAGCAGCAGTAGTCTTGCCGAATCCAGCTGGATTTCTCTCAGTTAACAAACGCTTCTCTTGTAGTGTTGGGAGGAGGCTTTCGTCCGTGTGGTCTTGAGAAATGTTCGGCCAAGCAGCGTTTGACCCTTCAGTCTCTAACAATTCAAGACAGAGATCCTAAAGAAGACACGGCGCCGCACACAGTCCCAGCACTGACCACAGAATATGTGTCTATTATGCAAAACAGTCAAAACAACAATGCGAAAATAAAGCAATAAGCCCCGTGAAGCCGTGGTTTACAGTGAATTTATAACAGCTAATGGGTGTTAAGCGGAGTGACTAAAACCCCTTAGCTATATTGCCTAAAATATCCAGGTTTTGGCTTCGTTTTTCTGTTTTCATACTTTTATAAGAGGCTTTTAAAAATGACCTTCGGTATTATATGTTTACAATTTTATTTTATTACAATACATATGGTTAAAAATTTATATGTTCATATTTACAATTATTAATATTATACATTTACTTTTCAAATATATTTTTAAAAAATCATTTGAAATAATATAATGAATATTTACATGAATGTTTTTGAACAATTACATTTTTACATGTATACATTTTTATTTTATTATTGTTGACTGTTAAACACAAACGTAAACAAAGGTGTATGTTTGTAGAGTAATTTACAACAGCTTCGAACGTGGCTCAGCCAATCAGAATCAAGCACCGGAACTATCTGTTTTATAACATCATTTTTAGATCAGTGACATGTGAGGCATCCTAAACTTCTGACTTTAAGATAAAAAAGATCTAAAAATCTAGAGGAAAAAGTCCATCTAAGATGGCAAAGAAATTAACTTCTAATTAATATAATAATTGGAAATATAATTGCAAAATTAATATTTTAATATTTAAAAATTGTACCACTTGATTATATATAATATTTTATTTTAAATGAATGTTTTTAAACAATTATATTTTATTATATGTACAGTTTTTTTATTTTATTATTGTACTCAGATGGGTAAAAAATAAATAAATATTTATATTTATAATAATAATATAATTTATATAAATATAAATATTTTATATAAATAGTACATAAATATAAAAATATTAATATCACATAATTACTTTAAGTAAATTATTTTGATTTTTAAATTATTATTTTAAAATAATGTTTTTAAACAATTACAATTTATTATATGTTTACAATTTTATTTTATTACAATACATATGGTTAAAAATTAATATGTTCATATTTACAATTATTAATATTATACATTTACTTTTCAAATATATTAAAAAATAATCATTTGAAATAATATAATGAATATTTACATGAATGTTTTTGAACAATTAAATTTTTACATGTATACATTTTTATTTTATTATTGTTGACTGTTAAAAATAAAAAAATGACATTTATTTTTAATTCAATTTAATTAGACCCATCCTCATGCTGTTCTTTATGTTCTCATGTCACAGAAAAAGCAGCGAGTCTGATTCTCTGTCTGAAGAGTCTCTCTGCGGTCTGTCCTGCAGAGAGAGAGACACTGAATAATTCACTAAAGTTCATTCAGCATCAAAACATAATTTCTATTAAGCACTCTGAGCTCTGATATGGCGTCTCTCGACTAAAGCAGGAAATAATTTCTGTCTCTGTAAATGTAAGAAGTCCAAAAGTCTATAATAAACCCCTAACACGCCCCCGAAACTACACTACAGCACACCACTAGCTAAAAAAAATAACTATATATATATATTATATACAAATAAAAAAGTAATATATAAAAAATAAAAACAGATGAAAACAGACAGAAAACAGAAAAACAGACATCAATGGTTGTATCTACAGTATAGAACTGTACGATCTAACAAAATTATTTCATTTTATTCTATTCTGGTAGAGTGTTTATGTGTTGTGATATCTTGTGCATTATTTACAGATATATTTGCATCTGTAAATTGTACTTAAAATTGCAGGATGTGTTCTTAATGTTACGTTTTTGACATACATGGACAAAATGTGTCTTTTCTATGATTTGAAAAACATATGCCAATGTAAAAAATGCCCCAGAAATCAATTCTAGGGGGAAATATTGCCCTTTAAAGTCTTCGGACTCTGGTTGGGACTATATAGAGGTTAGAGAGCCGTGTGGATTGATGCGGATGCCTCAATATCTCTAAGAACCGCTGTCGACTCTGTGGTTATCTGAGGTTAGTAAGACGCTGTCAAGAAGATTCAATCAATATATGAATCAGTCAATCTAAATGAACGTTTTGCAAAAGAAATTAAAGACCCTGAATGAAAGTATGTGGGTTAAAACCACAAAACATTCTTAAAACTAAATCAGCTAAACGACTAGTTTGACTTTTTTTGGTCAGTGTCGTGGCGCAGCGGTGTGTCAGGGGGCAGGGCGAAATCCAAGAGGAAAAGGCGGAACTCGGTTTGGATCAAAGCCAGAGAACTTCAGGAAACTTTCGCGGATACATTAACACCAAACAATGAGACTTTGCACTCACCCTGAGATATTAAGATGTGCATTCACGCTTATAAATGAGAGCAAACACCCCGAAGCTCTTACCCGGACCAGGTTGCTGACAGCTGCCTGCACGGCGGCCACAGGAGCGGTGAGATCCGGGATGGCTTTCCCGTCCACCTCTCCCTCCTCATGCATGATGACCAGATGAGAGATCTGCTGGGCCACCGGCTCCAGGATACTCTCTATCGTCTTCGTGTGAAAAACCGGCATGATGAGCACTTAAGAGAAAGCAAACTCTAGTTCCAAGTGTGTATCAGACTCCCCTCTCCGTATCCGATGCGCCGAGACTATCCCCCTCAAGAACACACTGACTCTCCTTCATGCAACTAACTAACCATCGTGGGAAGCGACTCGTCTAGCGAATGAATCGTTCGTTGGAGTCGGTTCTTTCCAGTTCGCAAAACGAGTCGTTCGCTCATCGCGCTTCACGAGTCAACAACTCACTGAATATATGACAACATGTTTGACATTTATTCTGCTTTTTGTGACGGGTAAATTTAATTAGTAAATAGTCCAAGTGTAATAATATGTTTTTAATGTCGAATTTTTAAGAGTCAGATCCAACAAAGCGTTTCCAGCATTTACAATATTACCAAAGTACAGTAGTTAAAGTATTAGGTTTACTATGAAAAAGTAGTTATTTGTACCACTGATACTAGTAGGCCTACTTATTAAAACATTCTAGTAGTCTATTTAATTATCTAGAATTTGATTCATTACAAAGGCTACTAAATTCTTTGCTATTAATCGCAGTTTTTCTACTGCAACATTTTTTGTCATTGAACTCTATGTTTGTCTACATACACATTTATTTAAAACCTGTTTAAACCCCGAGGAGTACGTAATGACGAACTCTTTCTCTGAACTGGCTCGTTGAAATGAACTGTTCGAAAGAATCGATTCGCGGCTTCCCACATCACACTCAACCTAAACCTCCCGGATGACGCAAACTCTCCATCCGCCAATCGAAAAGCGAGCACTGGCGCGCCCGTGAATGCGATTGGTTCGCACAAACGTCATTCGTCCTGATTGGCTCCGCCCATTGCCTTTGCCGCGTTTGCTGGTTCTTCCCAAACTACGTAATACATTCTCATGCCCTAAAAAGGAAACTTGATTCTACTGTTCTCTGGATGAAGAATTCTGAGTGCCAGGGGGCCTTTGAAGCCTTTATGCCATATTTTCACTTTTATTTGCAACATGATCAGTAAACAACAATGAAACAAAACAATATAATTAATTTAAAATGTGCACGGTTTCATGATACATATTTATTCACTGATGAATCTGATAAAACATTATAATTATAAAATTATATAGGCCTATATTTATTTTTTTTTGCTATATATATATATTCTTTGTTTTTCTTTATATTTTTGTTTGTCATGGCATTGTCATATATTTATACTAGCACAGCTACTGCTTTAAAGTTTTAACATGAATTACAGTTTTTTACGATTGCTTACACACTAAAATTAAACTTTTCCAACAATTAGCAAAACCTTACACTCCAGGTTGCAGCCTTCATCACTGCTCTGATCAAACTGAAACAACAATAACAATGTCTCAAGCTGTTTCAACCACAAACGCCTCAAACAGCCCAAGAATTTGCCCAGAGACCCTCAACAGGCTGCATGACCGAATATGGAAGAGTCTGAAAAGAAAGAATTAAGGAAGTTCGTTCAGGGAGCTCAGTGTAAACACAAGCGTGTGTGTGTGTCTGTGTGTCTGTCTGTGTGTGTGTGTGTGTTCATGCTGCTCACCTCAATATAAAACATCGTTGATCTGACCTATAAAGTGACGCTCATGATGGTGCTCTATTGGGTGAACTATTGCGTTTTTCACATTTTCAGAATGTTTTATTAGTTATTATTACTCATATTAGTTCATAAGTTACTTATATTAGATCTGAAGTAATTGATTTGGCATATTGATTTTTTCTGCAGCAATCCAAAGAGTCAAATTCCTTGTGTAGTGTAAGTTTGCCAATAAAACTTGGGTTATATCATATTAGGCATGGTTCTATTAAACAGTCTATTTTTAGACTTTATGTCACACATTCTGTTATTTCCACAGTTTAGTATGCGTTGATATTTTTAGCATTGGTCGGTGATTTAATTTTATACACCAAAATCCAGAAGTTACAGTTACCTTGAGCACACAAACCAGTCTTCATACTAATGTCATCTGCAGGATGAAGTATGCAGAGTGCGCGAGATGAAGTGTTGACAGTATCAGTGTACTTCAGTGTCTTTACATAGTCTGCCATCTAGTGGCTGAATAAGAAACTTTAGAGGCGAAAGATACGCTCTCAGAAAAATAGCTACAAAGCTGTCACTCACTGGGGCGGGAGTCAGGACCATAAGGTACAAAAGCTAAAATGTTCATATTTGTTTCCATTTTTTTTTACCCCCAAATGGTGCATATTAGTATCTTAGAGGTACATATTAGTTACTTTTAAAAGGGTACCGTCCCAATGACATGTTTTGACCTTTTTTTTTTTAAAGTGTAAAATCAAACATTCTAATAATTATGATCATTATTACAGATTATATTATAATATTGTTCAGTGTTGCATTAGTGATATTTTGTTTTTTTAATAACACTACAAGCAAAGCGCCATTTATACATGTATATAACAATAAATAAATAATAGGTCAAAACAACCCAATTGCTGGGTTTGTCCCTATTTTACCCAGCACTGGGTTGTATTTAACCCAGCATTTTTTAGAGTGTAGACACACCAAATATGGAGTTGTTATAAGCTCCTTTTGAAAGAGAGATCTAATTTTATAGTTACGTGATGAAGGATGTGACAAAAAGCATAGTTATCCTATACTGGGATTTCAAAGAAATAGGTAAAGTGCTGGATGACCCAGCAGACTCCCTTAAAAGCATATCAACTCCTTTAGGAATTGCGTCCATGACAATGGAAAATTCTTTGTGAGTTACTGGAAAATCAAATGTACATAAAAATTCTTTATAACTTAAAATAAGACCTAACTGGGCGTGTGAGTGAGGGGTTTCCTGTGAGTGACGTCAGTGCTTTAAACTCCATCTGTGAGTCAGTCTGACCTCTGACCTCATCCAGTTTCCACTCAGCAGCTGCACTGGAATTATACGCACAGCTGATAGAATATAATAGCACTGATAGTAAGCGTGTGTATCTGTGTAAATTGCAGTGATTTTATGGTCAAATTATGCGCGTGTTTAAATAAAGAGTGTAAACTGTGTTTGTTTTGACTGTTCATGAATGAATATACTACTCAAGGAGATTAAACATTCAGAAACATATCATCTTATTAAAAATCTTATTAAATGCACAGCCTGATGTCGAACCTTCCTAGAATTCATTTATTCATATTCAGATTCCAAAACACACTAAATCTTTAAACGAACAGGTGGGTCAAAACCTTATTACCTTACAGTTTCAGTTACTTTAACGTTCCAGTAAAATAAAGCTACAATTTATTTATTATTAGGAAATACATTTATATCTATTTATACACGCACATATTAATACAAACATTTATTTTACACGACAACATTTACTCAGAATGTACACAGTACTTGTTTATTGGCCTAATAATTGGCTTTTATCATTGACGTAACATTAATAGTTACACAGCAATATAAAATTATACAACAATATAAAAACAAATGAAAACAAAGTGGCACTGTACATTTTAATACCAATGCAAAACAATACTTTCACAAATATTTTTCATACAGAAAGTCCTTTGAGCTGCTGTTATATCTTGGCAATAGAATGGAATGTAAGAATGATGGACATATTAACGAGTAACTGAACAGAAATCAGTTTGAACACGACTCGTTTGCAGTCGTTCGCTCAGGTTCTTTATGTTGGTCTCTGCCGTGAATGAGGGCAGGTGTGCTCCTGTTCTCAGCTGAGCGACGACAGGCCGGTTTTCTCCAGGATCCAGTTGTAATAGTTGCTGACTTTAGTATAAACTCCAGGACGGAACTGTCTGGAACATCCCTCTCCCCAGCTCACCACACCGAACAGAAACACACGGTCACGGACGCGACACACCAGCGGCCCGCCAGAGTCACCCTGAAACATCCCAGAAGAACAGACGCATCAACCTGAGAGGCTTTTCTTGCTTCTCAGTGCTAAAAATGTGCAATCATTTTACATGTAGCCTTTAAAAAAAATCTGTAAAAATAGGGAACAATGTACTGTATTAATATTAAGGAATTTTCTGTATTTTTTATTTTTTTTTACCAAGTGTTTTACCTGTATTTTGAATTTTATTTGCCAAAAATGAATGGATAATGTCCTGGCAGAAAATTACTGGTACAATTTCCTTTTTTTGTGTCAATATAAATAGAGTATGTGTGTGTGTGATTTAAAAAAACGTTAAATAAATGTAACAAAAAACAATAACAACAAATATAAAAAGAATACATTTATAAAAAATATCAATCAATAGATAGATAGACAGACGATAGATAGATAGACAGACAGACAGACAGACAGATAGATAGATAGATAGATAGATAGACAGACAGACAGACAGACAGATAGATAGATATCCTAGGTTAAAGGTTTTAATAACATAATGATATGCTAGAATAGGTAACATGGTTGCAGATCCTAAATAATAAAAAAAATAGTTGTAAATTAAGTTGTCAATGAGTAGGGATGACAAATTTATGTAAAGGTTTAATGACAAAGGTTATGTAATATGTAGGACACAACTAAATGTAATTTCATGCATTGGATTTAAGCCTTTATTGCTTTAGAAAAGTAATGAGACACCAAATTGTTCCCAATTTTACTTAATTTGCAGTGCCATGATATGCATTTTATATATTTAATATGCCAGCACATCTATACGGATCACCGTTGTTTCCGGCTCACCTTACACGCGTCCGCGCTCCAGTCGGGACTCCCGGCACACAGCATGTTGTCTGTGATCATGTTGCCGTAATATGCTTTACTCGAACACACATCCTGTGACAGCAGGTTGACCTTTGCTTCTCTGAGATACTGAGAGTAATACCACAACCCTACAACACACACACACACAATGACTGAACCCTTCATTAGCGCAAACAGAACAAACACACTCTCAACACAAACTCCACTGAGATTACCTTCTTGTTCTCTGCCGTATCCAGTGACCTCACAGGACGTCCCAACACTGAGGGACTGATGCGCTTCAGGGATGCAGACTGTCTTGACTGAACTGGACTCTTTAGCACAGCGACCGTCAGGACTGCGGATCTTCAACAGCGCTGAACACAGACCAGTCAATCAGACGTTAATGACAGGCTGATGCATAACTAAACTCATAAAGCTACTTTGACTT